AAATCTCTCCCTCTCAGCTCCTTTACTACTGACCATAGACGAAGAGCTTCAAGCTCGTCGATCTCCAGCGTCTCCTCGGTCTCATCTATCGAGGCCCTCAGTGACGATGCCAATGAATCAGAAGAGGACGCTGATGATGAAAAGGAACAGCCAGCTGTTCGTGGCCCGTCTTATGGTCGGCGTGACAAGAGCCGTAAGTCGGGCATCAAGTCTACTGGTCGGAAAAGGGTGAGGCTTTCCGACGATGATGGCTATGACGGCCAAAGAAGCAGCGATGAAAGCGATTCATATGAGAGCTCGGACGATGTATACGCTGCTGTGGACGATATCAGCGACGGAGACGATGAAGACCAAGATGTTGAAATATTGGAAGAGCTGCTGATCCTCGAGTCGGAGGACGAGCACGAAGTCGACAACGTTTTCAAGACTTCCGCAGTGTCTGAGCTCGAGTTGGCCGGTACCAACACTTTTGAAGATCACATGCTGCTGTCTGCTGCCTCGTTTTTTGACGAGGAGCAGCTCTACAGTGCCATGGAAACCTTTGGCGAGACTGACTTCGCCAGCGAAGCGGCTGCAGAGACACCCATGCCTAGGCGTGTCCATTTCGAGGAAGACTCCGATTCCTCGTCAGATAGCGACTCGCATACAGAGGATGAGATACCGAGTGATTTCTTGCAACAGGACAGTCTCGATCCTCAACTACGTCGTATGATCGAGAACGACAACGAAAACTACAGCAGCCGCCGTCGCCAGTCTGATGAGCTGTTCGCTGAGTCGGACTATGGCCATTCGAATATCTACCACGTCGAGTCTGACGCCGTTTCCGAGGGATCCGAGTCGAGTGGCTATGAGAGTATGCAAGATACCTGGGCTTTTACCTTGATCCTCCTACTGACATGTTTGAAGCCGATGATGGCGAGACCACAGATGAAGACCTGCCACCACCGGCAACAATCACCCACCCCCGTTCCATCCTCCGCCGCGATTCCTCCGCCTCTCTGCCTCCAGCCGACGAGAACAAAAGTCAACCCCCTACTCGCCGGCGCGGTCCAATCCTAGGTACTTTTGTCGCAGACCCCCACAAGCCGGTGGCCTTGGTCGACTGTACGGGGAAACATCTTGTCATCATTCCAGCCTATGCATCATCCCGCCATGACTGGCTTGAATCTGCCACCAACAGCATTTGCGGCACTGCGAACAATAGCCCACGTGCCACTACAATGCACCTCATAGACGAGAGCGACACGGATGCTCTGGCCTCGCCGAATCGTCACGACCTTAGTCCGATGTTGGCATCGAGCGCTAATCTAATGATCACCGCCCTTGGAAACGACATTGCCCCGGGTGGTCAAGTCATGGGTCCTCCGGAGGCATTTTACCCATCTCGTGATTTTGCTATTGATAGTTCCTTTGAGGATGACGACGACGACGATGATGATCCGGAAGCCGCCTTGAATGTCGAGGATTTCATCGATTTTGGAGACGGCTCCTCCGACGAGGAGATGGGCAAAGCATCTGACGAAGATGCGATTACTTCGCCAATGGCCACTGCATCCATGACAGTCGTAACCGGCACTCCTACCCCTAACCGTGGAGGTGATGCACAGCAGAGCAACAGTGCTGAACGCTTCCTGAATCATCTGGATCGTGGCATTGTTACGGCCTTCCGTCGCAACCATAACAGATATCAGGCCCTCTTACGTTTACCCCAGCACCGCGAATTCATGCCTGCCAATTCGCCGTCCCGGCCTGCTAGCGTCTTCCGTCATGCCAGACATGCTGACCAGCGCACTCCCACTCGGAAACGCAAGGCTAGCGGATATGCCGGCGGTGATGCTGTGCGACGGAAGCTCATGGATGCTCATCGACGCACTCAGATTCCTTTCTAAATCTAGCAATGCTACATGTTTGCGCCCGCAACTCCTTATGGACGCCTCGGAAGGCATGGAAGAATTCTTTTATCTACCGTCTGTGTCACAGCATAGACTGTCTGGCAGGTCCTCTAGATATTGCGCTGTGGGCTTGTTTACACATAGACGTATATTGATTGATCTAGCGAGTCAGAGTTGTTACTTTGATGCATCTGAGCATGGTCACGGGAGCTGTACTATGGATACATGTTCGAGGACCAAAAGTCGATGCCTTTTGAGTTGTGGTGTCTGGTTCACTTCGTCCATTGTAGATCTGAGATCTACTCAATTGTCTACTTTGGGGGCTTTTTTTTTTTTGCTTTTTATGGCGCGAGCAAATACCTCAAGGATCCTGGATCATTTTTCGTTTATTTTTATTTTATTTTTATTTTTTTTGCATTCTATGGTCATGATGTTATACCAGCCATGTGAGAGTCATATACCAGCAAATCAAAAACAGATTCAAAAGTTCTTACGCTTCTGATTGCTCCTTGTAACTATACATGTAAGAGAGACCATTCGGCATTTGAAGAGCGAAAATCTTCAAAGCTTTTACTCGTAGTTCCTAAAATTTCTGAGGTCAGGCAATAGTCGCATAAACAATATTTACAATAGATCCTGCCGAGTGCCGAGAGCAGGCATCGTGCGACACTGCCAAGAACACCGTCGACGCCTGGAAGAGTCTTTGAGCTCAAACTCGAGATATTCCGCAGAGTAACAGCTAGACAGAAATGCTCCTGGTCAGTATCTACAGAGTACGGAGAACAATCTGGTCCGCAAGCCGTGCTGTCAAGTCCACTAGGCCATCCGTCATTGACCGAGCACTGACGCTTAAACGTGAGAATGGAGAGACTCTCTGGGGCTGGAGTCAGGTAGCACCAGCACAGTAGTACTGCTAGGGTAGCTACGGTAGTAGCTACTAGCACCGGCTAGACTTGACCAAGCTAGAGTCCGTCTTGCATACATTAAGTGGCTGACTGTATGATTCCGAATGTGACGCTCCGAGGTTGTAGTACCGTACTACGAGTCTACAGTGGTCAATAGGGTATCTGATCTATCCTGAGCATGGACTCGTGGTCGAAATGATGGTTCGTTCACGCCACAGCGGGAAATAGTCGATAGTGATGCCATACTATTACTCGGGCTCTGACCTTGACTTCACTTCATCTGTAGGCTCCCGTGCAGGATGTGACCGTGACCCTGGCCATGCGCATGGAGATATGCGGTATGGTTCGTTGGATGGGAAGATCATGCGGGTTCGAGCTGATGGCGGCTATGGTGAAGAAAAGAACGACCTGAGGAGGGTGTTGTTCTTGATCATTGCCCGTTGCTTGTTTGGCTAATGGTCCAGGGAGGACTCGGAGTGCATAGACACTTGGTCTTGGAGTCGGTAGAGCAAGTAATCTATTTCTGATAAATATAGCAGCCGACAACGCCATTGGGGGAATGATGAGACTGGAAGAGTTTCAGGGCGAGACGCCAGCGGTCTTGGCTGGGGGCTTGCTTTTGCTTCGCTTATTTTTGATATTTGGATTTTTTATACTTCCTGAGTCAGGAAGTCCGATCCTTCTTTTGTTTGCCTGCATATGCTGCAGATTGCCATTGAATCTGCATGCTGTAACCGGTGGATGTAGAATATAGAGGATATTGGTAGAGTGTCGTGTTGCAGGGTGATTTGACATGTCTATGGGCAACGGCATAACAGCTGCGGGCTTTCTTTTCCCTTCTTCTGCTTCTCCACCTATCTACCTCACCATCATCGTCGTCCACTTCAATCCCCGTCCATCCGTTCATCCATGCATTAGCCGAATGACTTTTAGCTTTTAACCTTTTTTTTTTTTTTATGCTGATGATAATCATGATGATTTCCCACTTTGACATTGTACAAGCTTACCGCGAGGAGCCCAATGCCGCATCTGCAGACTAGGCGCCTGTTTGAACCCCTGCCACCGCATCTCTACATTTTTGCAATTTCAACGTGTGCCTCCTCTTGTGCATGACCATGACAGTGACAAATAAGCTGCCATATACATACCATAATAAGGAGGACGTTGCAGGGAAGAATCAACCCCTCCAGGGACTGAGGCCGGATCTAGACTGAGCGCCCCCGCAGTCGCCGGCATTCTCGCTTTAATTAGTTAGTCCAGTCGAGGTATGTGAGCTCACCTCCAGCCGAGTAGTTCGTTTTACTTGTCTCCTATGAAGTGGTCTAGTCTTCTCGATCTGGACGGCCCTGAAGTAAATGATTGGTGGCTCTTCGCGCTTCCCTGATCACTTTCTGCTTTCTGGTCTGTTCCTGCACTAGCGCGCGACTTCAAACGGACTGCATTTCTAGCGCATGCCGGCCAATTGGCCCCTGAGGTGTTTCCACTCTGATCGCTCATTGGCAACAGGGCTCTTGGCTGACGGTTTCACCAGCTAACTCAGGCACCGCCTGTCGAACGGCTGCTGGATGTGTGAAAAGAGGCGTTTCTCAGAATGTCTTACCTGCTTTTTTGGGCCCAATGCTTGACAAAGATGCTCCGCCAGATGCCCTGTGAATGGTCCGTTCGGACTGGCCCATTGTCCCATAACCACCATGTCCTTTGTCCTTTTGTCCCTATTGATGGATCATGAGGGGCATGTGCTTGTTTCACTTGCACCTCCAGAACCGGTCAATGGCATGCAACGGAGTAATGCTGTGGCTCGTTTCATGTTGCCAGGGCCGGCTTTTAAAAAGAGCTGTATGCCCTCTTCCGCTTCAAGAGAACTAAGCGTTTTGATTTCTGTTTTCCTAGTTCTATTACTTTGCCTTGGCTCTGACCGAGTCTACCTTCGCTTTCTTTTTTATCATTGTCGTTGCTCTTTGGTGGACAGTGATCCCAAAGAAGCCCCATTCACCCGTCGGATTCACTCTTTGTGCCTTCGGGATCGTTACCATAATTCTATTCATAGCTCTGCTCTGGAATTATTGTTGTCGCTGGTGTACGATATCAATAATAGTAGTACTCTTCTTCTGGATCTTCTTTCGGTTCAACGCAACTTCGTCCTCAACTATTTCTTCCTATCGTCATCTTCTGTCTGTCGCTCTAACGCAACTACACACTCAACATGAAGGCCGTTCCGGTCACTCTCGTTTCTCTTTTCGCCGTGGCCCAGGCCACTGGCTCGGTGAGTGTCCTTGAGTCCCTGAGGTCTCTTGCTTGTATACCTTTCTGACTTTCTTCAGTGGTGGGTCACGGACAAGTGCTACTCCAACCCCGAGAACTCCGACAACCACTGCACTGAACATCAGAAAGGTGGCTGGGACTGGTCTGACCTTACTACCGGGTCCTTCTCCTCGTATGGAGGCTTCGATTTCTCCGGTTTTAAATGCAGTGACAGCTTCAGCGGTGGCGGCAAGCGTAGCTTCGGTGGTGTAAGTCCGCTCAATCTTCTCCTTCCACATCACAAAAGCAAGATGCTGATGGCGCACAGGGCAAATACATTGAAGGAAAGCTCTCCTCTGCCCCCAAGTTCTCCTGCGGCCAAGAGCAAAAGGGATTCTCCATCAGCAAGCTGCACCTCTCCACCTCCAAGGAGACCGACGTGCACATCGTCTATGGCATGCCCGATGGGTCCACCTGCCGTAACGTCGCTTCTTGCTCGCCCGAGGGCACCCAGGTCAGCAACGACCAGTGCGGTGGTGCCACCTCCGTGAGCTTCGAGCACCCCGAGGGATCGGAGGACAATGACTGTGACATCGGTGTCCACAGCATTGACTTTGACTGCTCTCCTGGCAAGACCACCTCGACTCGCACCGCTGCTGTGCCAACCGAGACTGGTGTCAGCCCCGAATCGTCCTCCACTCCCGCTAGCCAGGAGTCGTCCACTCCCGTCGTTCCCACTCCTATTCCTTCCTCGTCTGATGTTGTCCCCACGTCGTCTTCTGCAGGCATCACGACGCCCGTACCTGTCACCACTCCTGTCCAGTGGACCACCTCGACCGTGTACACTACTAGTGAGATCACCATCACCAGCTGCGCTCCAACGGTGACCAACTGCCCCGCCAATTCGATCAGCGTCATTACCTCAACCATTGCAGTTTCGACCACTGTGTGCCCCGTTACTGCTACCGAGACTGCCTCTGTCTCTCTGCCTTCTTCTGTTGCTGCGGGCTCGAGCTCTGGAAGCCCGACCCCCGACGTCACTCCTTCTGAGACTGCTACTGAGACAGCTCCATCCGAGACTGACTCCGAGACTCCTTCTGAGACTGCTACTGAGACTGCTCCATCCGAGACTGACTCCGAGACCCCTTCTGAGACTGCTACTGAGACTGCGCCATCCGAGACTGACTCCGAGACTCCTTCTGAGACTGCTCCCTCTGAGACCTCCCCTGAAAGCACACCCACTGGCAGCTCTCCTGTCGAGTCGAGCTCCTCGACCCCGGCCATCACCACACCTGCGACACCTGCTTCCAGCACTGCCCCTGCCATCACTGGGGATGTCACCACGACTGTTGTAACATACGAGACCGTGACTACCTGCCCTGTGACTGAAACCATCTCGACCAGTGGCACCGTCACCACCACTACTTACAGCACTGTCTCTACCGTCACTCTGACTTCCACATCGACCATCTGCACTGCCTGCCAGGCCAGCACCACTCCCGCCCCCTCGTCGGTCGCCCCTGTCACCACTGGCCCTGCCCCTGAGGACCTGACCACTACCGTGGTGACATACGAGACCGTGACTACCTGCCCTGTGACTGAAACCATCTCGACCAGTGGCACCGTCACCACCTCTACTTACAGCACAGTCTCAACTGTCACTCTGACGTCGACCGCCACCATCTGCACTCGCTGCACCGCGGGAAGCACCACCCTTCCCTCAGGCCAGTCCCCCGTCACCGCCAGCGAGACCAGCGGCGTGCCCTCCGTGACCGCAACTCCCTCGTCTGTCCCCTCGGCCCCTTGCCCCAACGTTGTGCCCAAGTGTATCAACACCTGGCTCAGCCTGCTCCCCAAGTGCAACTCCAACAGTGACGCCAGCTGCTTCTGCCCGTCCTCCGAGTTCACTGACAAGGTCATCGCCTGTGTGCAGTCCTGGGGAGCCTCGCAGTCGGAGGTTCAGGCCGCTCTGTCCTACTTCACCGGTATCTGCGCTGCCTACGTGCCCAAGAACCCCGGCATCGTGACCGCCATCCCGAGCACCATCACCCTGGTCCCCACCATCAACCCCACCGGCGCCGACGCAGTCACTGCTCAGCCTACTGGCGGGGCCACCGCCACGCCGACCGGTGGTGCGGCCGTCACGCCCGCTCCCCAGGCCCCATCCGCCCCCTGCACCACCATCACCTACTCCTCTTATACCGTGACGGTGCCCCAGGTCGCTTTCTCAACTGCCACCAGCGGCTCGACCACTACCGTGGGTCTGATCCCCGGCCCGGCCCCGACCTCAGGCGTCTCCGCGGGCACCACAACCCGCATTCCCAACCCCTGGCTGTCCTCGACCCTGGTGACCCACCCAGGCACCGCATCGGCTACTGCCTCTCCAACCGCCGGTCCCCTCCTGTCCAACGATGCCTCCTCGGGCTCTGCCTCGAGCATGATCTGGGCTGTCGCTGTCGCAGCCCTCTTTGGCACTCTCTTCTAATCTGGCTGCGAAAATGTGCTTTTTCCGTCGCAACGTGTAACTGCTTGCTACCTTCGTTCTTTTCAACATCAGGTAATTACTGATGAATAATAATGTACTGCAGTTTCTTGCGTTATTCCTTTCCTGGATAATACTAGATAGATTGTCGAGAGCCTTCCAGCCTGCTTGAGATGTACCTAGAGATGTGTTAGTTCCCTCTGGGTTCTTCTCATTAATGACTTACTAAATCCGTTCTGATGCTTGAGAGACTCGTATTTTAGATGATTACCAGCACCTAGTTTGGGTTATCAAAGGCCATTTTCTACCTACAAAGCACACGTTAATCATAGGCAACTTAACAACACTATTTACACTACGTTAGACCTATCTAGGGCGTGTCTTGGATGCTCTGCCTTAGGCATGCAGCTCAATTTTATTCTATAGGGCCAGCAGCCAGCCCACTCCTTCTTTCTCTTTCCCCTAGTTAGATGTTCATCAAGTTGGATGGGTGCACAGCCATTTCGCCGTGTGGCCTTGGTTTCCGAATAGTTCGTCAAGTCTATTTTCATCTATCTACACAATGGGAAATCTGACCTCCTTTTCTTTTAATACATTCCGCAATCTCCAACATGTGTGCCCGAGATGAGCGCAAAAAGATGTTGAAGTGTGCTACCCACGGATTCACCCCTGTGGCGCGAGGGTCTGGTACGTGAGCACCTTTTCGTATAATTGCAACGAAACCACGACACACATTCAGCAAGATCGAGTCGTCTGCTGAAGAGTTCGCAACCCGCGCTTCGAGGTGGAAGACCCCATCCCGGAAACTAATCTGATGCAAGCTCCGGTGCAGTCAATCGCGAAGGAGAGCAAGCTCAGCTGCGGGAATGCGGGAAGGCAGGACGCGAAGACGCCTCCCAGTTCAATGAGGCTTTCAACAATTCCGTGGCCGTGTACATCCGCACCTTTGGGGAATTCGTCGGATGCTTCGAAGTGTAACACCTCTCCATCGCAGTAGCGCTTAATGGCGAAGGCTGCGCCGTGTCTCTCGACATTGATCGATCATACGGCGTCCTCTATCTGGACGAGGCTCTCTACTCTGCATACGCCTTCTGAAATGTATCCAGTACGCGGTTTGAAAATGAGTGGAAACCCGAGGTTGTGCTCGAGCACGGTTCTAGTAGCTTCCTGTACGATAGTCGCTTGATATGCTTCATGTCCCTCGAAGAGTCTCAGCCTGAACATATCTGTGACAAAAGCGAATATCTCCGGAGAACACGCTGGCAACGAGAGCTCCAGGGCGGCTACAGCAACTCGCTCTTGGTAGTGATCGCAGAACGTCACAAGGCCATCAATGTGACCGTCGTACGCGCGGATTGCGCTCAACGACTCGGCGTGTAAACACCTCATCAGACTGCAATGTGGATTCGGTTGGAAGGAACGCTTTACACCAGTGGGCCCAGTGCAGACCTTCGAGCCAGTGCCCGGGATTGTCGAGCACAACCATATCAATTCCCAGAGCTTCGGCCGCAGTGGAGACGGTCTCTCTGTTCCCTCAATAATCAGGGCTGCGACGACCGCCTTCAACAGGGGCAGGGGTTTTACGTCGGGTTGCTGCATTGACGGCCAAGGAAATGATAGCCGGTTGCGTAATTCAACATTGAGGTCTTCTAACAGCGAATGAAGGTTGTTGTTGTTGTGGGCATTGGTCTCTTTCAAGACCATACCTCCGGCAGACACAGCGAATGTATTGAGCCTGTTGCAGTGTCTCGATGCACATAGCGGGTCCCTCAAAAAATTGATGCGGCTTTGCAAATGCCACAACGCCAGTCACTAGCCGGCTCCTGGATGAGGCGACTGCGGCGCTGGATGCTCAGTCCGAAGCGATGGTGCAAGAAATGTTGAATAAAGCTTCCGAGAAGAGGACCACGATTGCTGTGGCACATCAGCTGAGTACCATCCAGCACGCGGACGTCATCTGCGTGGTCGAGGCGGGGAGGTTGGTCGAGATTGGCAATCATGAGGAGTTGATGAGAAAAGACGGCGTGTATGCTGGGTTGGTGGAGACGCAGAATCGAGGAGTGGCCCCTGAGCAGGTGTTGTTCAGCATGATGGTTTATCTATTCTAGTACTGTGGGGGTCATCGAAGTGTATTCAACGTTGCAAGCATTGTCGCCCTGCTATGTATGTAGAAGATTGCAGCTTAGTTTACATTCCTCCTGCCCAATACCAGACGGATTCTGCATCAGTAAGAAAGATAGGACACCCGTTTCCTTCGGGGTACGGACAGGATCAGTGGAGATCACTAACACGTACCCACCATTAGTCCTTGGGAGGCCGGTTGGCATTGATATCGTTTAGAATCTCCCCTGCACCAGCCTTGACCAGTCTTGCCGCAAGTTCCTCTCCGAGCGCGTTTGCTTCCTCGACCGTCTGGACTCTTGAAGTAATGGTATCCTCAACGCTTTGGGTGCCGTCCAGACTGACAACAATAGCGTTCATCCTCAAGTCCCCGGAAGACGTCCACTCCGTTTCCACCCCAATAGGGACACTGCAACCACCCTCCAGGGTCCTCATAAGAGACCTCTCGGCAAGACAAGCAAGAGTGGACTTCTGGTCGGCCAGTTTGCCCAGCAATTCCTGCATTTTACGGTCTCCCTTGCGAATCTCCAATCCCAGAGCGCCCTGGCCAACGGCATGGAGAATGCCCCCGTCCTTGGAGCCCAGGTACTGGTTGATGCGATGCTTGAGGCCCACCCGCTCGAGGCCCGCGGCAGACATGACCATACACGTATACTCACTGTCTGGATCGTCCACCTTGGCGAGACGAGTCTCGACATTGCCGCGGAGATTGGCGAACCGGAGAGACGGATAGAGCCGACGGAGCTGCGCTGAGCGCCGCACGGAGGAAGTGCCGACTACCGCGCCTTCGGGGAGGCTCTTCAAGCTCGTGTATGGCAGCCCGGCCTTGACAATCAGGGCGTCCCGCGGATCATCACGGGCCGGGATAGCTGCGAGCTCACAAGACTCGGGGAGCCTAGTCGGCATATCTGGTCCAGTTAACTCTGCGGTTCCTCATAATGACGGAGGGAAGTGAGATTATTCACCTTTCAGGCAATGCACAATTACATCCAATTCACCGGAAGTGAGCTTCTCTTCCAGCTCGGTTGTCCAAAGGCTCTTAGCGCCGAAGTTATACAGCGCCGTTAGCTGGTCTCGATCGCCCAGTGTACGGAGAGCTTCAATCTCATAGGATCGATCCGGGGCAATATTTTGTAGGCTATCCCGGATGCCCTCCGCCTGGACCATGGCCAGATTGGATCGTCGCGTACCGATTCGTAGCGGCGACTGGGGCGTCGGAGAGGTTTCCACCATATTGTCGGACTATGATGGGGTCGAGGGGAAGATCGGCAGGGAAAGAGGGAAGCTAGGAGGGGTTCTAGCAAGACCACAGAACATGGGATGGATATATTTATTATCCACCAACGTACCCACAAAGACAGAACGAAAGACGGACCCAGCTGACGCTAAAGTACTGAAACGCTTAGTATGCAAGCGACGATTTAGCGCTCGATCCAGCGTCGTACCCGACAATTAGCGTAGGGCATTTCCAGTAATTCGCATACGGAAATTACCATCTCAAGGGAAAAGCCACTTATCAGAATGAGGGTTATTCTTCATTGTTGAAGCATTCCGTCCCAGCATCCGCGACTGGTGCACAGACGTCAGGATCGACGAGTGGTGTCCGACTGACAGGGCATAAACAATCTGCGGTAGCGGATGCTGCATCAAGCCTCGGCCCAGCATAAAACGAACTCAACCTGTTTCTTAGCTTCATCTTGTTAACAAAACGGCCAATGTTGAAGTGTGCAATTTTGCTTGTCGGTCAGACCTCACACTCGTCTCTATCAGCGTTGGAAGAACATGATGGAGCAAGGATACAGGGGTCGTGGCTGTCTATGCGTATTCTTGTCTTTCTGAAGACAAGTACTGACGCATGTTCACCTCTGAAAGACTGGTCTTCATGAATTGGGATGTACTGGCTTTTCGTTGCATGGACACATGTAGCACCGATGGGTGTCGCACATGGAATTCATTATGACCTGAAGACGATCTTCTTAAGGCATCGAGGCGTCCATTCTTTCCATATGCCACGGACTGGAAGTCGAAGTGGAAGTGTCCATGCACAAAAGGACCAATATCCCATTGCAGGTTTAATAGGGATTGAAGTCATCGAAGCTACTACACAACGGATGAAGCGGATGAACTGACTGCATAGAGTTGGGAGTCAGCCCTGCCGCGAGAGAACAGTTCACACACTACATATCAAACCTCCTGTCGGGACAAAGACATCACATGCTATAAGCCCAGCAGTGTCACCAAGTCTAGTCTATTTAAAGGCACAAACCAGCTGCCTTAACCCCAGCAACAGCAGCAGCTAGTTTCCAAGTCACTACGTAGCAGGCCACTTGCGAAACAAATCCGACAACCGATCCAAAGGCGCCGTAAGCAACCCTACAGCAGTCTCAAACGGCGGCGTTGAAGGCGCCGTCGGATGCGCATGCGAAGGCACGAAGAGCTTCGTCCTGTTCAGCGACTGCGACAGCCCGAGGCTTTCCTGCTCCGAGAGCGCGTCTTCCAGCCACCGGATATCCTCCGTCTCTTCGTGATGTATATGCTCCTGGAGATCATCCCAGAGGGATTGCAGCGTGGGGATGAAGCGCGGGTCCGTGGATTTCATGTCCTGGAAGGTCTTGAGCTTTTCCTTTACCTGGTGGTTGTCGTTGTTGCTATCAGCCACAACGCTGTCTCGTTTGAAATAAGGAAAGGGAACCAACAGTCTGATGCTCGGCCCTATCCTTCCTCGCCAACTCCTTGCCGTCGTCGAGGTATTTCTCCAGCGCGGGATATACGACCAGCTCCTCGCCGACGGCGTGCCGCGCCAGTTCCCAGGTGAACTGATTCTGGTACTTGGTCTGCTCCTCTGGATCGGTCGAGCTGACGATCAGCTCATAGAAGGATTTGATCTCGCTGTGGTCGTGCTTGATTGTGTCGAGGATGCGGAATCGGCGGGCCTGCGACCAGTCCGTGAAGGCCTGGACTTGGTGGCTTATGTTGCCTCGGAGGACGTGGGGCTCGGAGACATTGCTGTCTGCTGTCGATTTTCGTCCGTGTGTTGCGGCCATGATTTAGAGCAGTGATGGAGCGGCGGGGATGAGAGGGAGGGTGTGATGTGGTGTTGATCGGAGGATTACTCCTGCAGTTAGACAAGACATCATCATGAGAAATCGAGGTTGGATGTCTGTTGGTAACCGTCATCAATTCATCACAGGCACAACACAGCACATCTGATTAACCACTCATTATATTGATTATATCCAGTAAACCAAAACACCTGTACAGCTATGCAAAACATAATTAATCATCATACAATGCCTTCTCAACACTTTCATGACCTGTGTATGAGCATGCTCTAACCAATCACCAACGCCCTCACCTCAATACTCTCCCTCGGCTTAGCGCCCTCCCTCGTCCGCGGATCCCAAAACGCAGAATGCGGCACTCGCTCCGCAATCCCATCCTTCGCTGCCGCATAACTATCCGAGCACTTCAACAACAGTCTCTCCTCGTTCTCCATCCCGGAGAGATACATCCACCGCTGGTTAGGATTATACTTGACGGCCATGGTCTCGCCAGTCCGATGCGGGTAGCGGTGCTCCACAGCCACGAGATCATTCTTGTTGTCGACGGACGGGGCGGCCGCAAACGCCAGCGGCGCTGACTCCACGCGGCCGTTCAATGGCCGCCAGACGTTGACGATGCGGTAGCGCACGCCCTGGCTGAGGATGCGCTCGGCCTCCTCGGGATCGGTGACGTGCAGGCGGACGCGGTCCTGCGCCGCTTTGCGAGTTTGGTCGACGTGTGCCCGGTTGACTGGTTGGCGGGGGGCGTCGGGGTTTTGTTTGCGGATGGTGTGGTCGAAGAGGATGATGCGCTCGGCGCCGGGGATGTGCTGCAGGAGCAGCTGCTCGACTTCTGGGTAGTAGAGGCGTTGGACTTCGGCGTCAGAGTCGAAGGTTGAGTATGTGGTTGCTGTGGGGATGTGTTGGAGGACTTGGAAGGCGTGCGTGTCGAGGTTGTAGTCTGCTTCGTGGCCGCGGATGTCGGTCAGGGATACTTTGTGCACTTTTTCACCGTAGTTGCGGGGTGGGAGGCCCGCCGGTGGGGATTCCACGTAGTTGTAGGGCGTGGATCCGTCGGCTGGGGGTTCGTAGAAGGTTAAGTCGACGTCGACGGGGCCCCGGGGGACGGGGTCAACATCGGTATTGATGGTAGTACTTATGGTAGTGGTCGACATTCTGAAGTAAGTTTCGAAGAACAAATATCACGTCTGTTTGAAGTCGGTATACAGCAATAGTCTGAGACGATGTTGTTGTTCAGCAAAAAATCCTACCCTTATATACTCCGTACAGACTGATATATCATCCTGTTCATTTGTAATCTTATACGATGACTCCAAAAGTGTCCGACATGTTGCCTTTCTCAGGCATATTGCCTCGAGTTTCAATGACGTGCTTTGAAACATCCAATCACAACAGCCAAAAGCATCGGCCGATTCCCACTTTGACTGTATGTGGACCAATTAGAAGCATGACAATGGCCAAGTAATGACGTCAAAAAATTGGATTGGTAATCCGCCTGCCTTCCTAATAACCTGATTGGCTGCGTTGGTCAGCACGCAAGTGAGTTGATCCGAAGCTCGTATTCTCCCTTTAGATACCTAAGCATCAATAATACGTACTTATTGAAGTCAACAACAAATACGCTGGACCTAGTGGTTCGGCGACAGGCACATTGGAAGTGAGGGGACGGAAGTGCATCAATGACTGAGAACTGCCAAATTAGAACAAATGTACACGTCCGCAAGATCGGCAAATAGAAGCATCTGGTCTGAGCGCAAGTAGAATCTATATTCGACACGCCAAGCGCACGCAAGTGGACATCGAAGACATAGATGGATCACGGAAGTGCCAAAGTTACCATCGTCGCGTGCTTGGACAACAAGGTGAAGTCGTTGTACCACCAATAACACCAAGAAGTAAGCCAGAACGCCGACATGGGATTTCCATGTCCCATAGACCCTGTGTCCCAATTCAAGACCGTAGACAACGCCAGAAAGAAGTAGATGAGCCAGAAAGCATTACCGCTAGCCCGCTCTGGCTTTCTTGGAGCGCTCGTAGCTCTGGAGCTCCACGTCTCTGCCATTAGTTTTGAGCGGGTAGAGATGGACCCCCATATCGGTGGGAAAGTCGGGATGCAACAGACTAAAACGGTGCGGATTCTGAGGTACGCCATCCACCTCGGCCGGAACTCGCTCCACAAGCAGCTCGATCAGGCTACGGTCAACCCAACCGGCGGACCTGTTGTGCAAGCGGTCTAATCGAGCACAGTCGTCTTCCACCTCTTCATTCATCAGAGACGGCAGCGGTGGAGCATTGCTGTTAGGTCTCGCGTGGTAATTGGCGAGGACGTTATATGGCAGGTTCGGCCGGACCGCGGGCTTGTCCGACAGCTCTGCTAGAGCGTTGAGCGCATGGTTTCCGTGCGTCCGTGTCGAGCGTGTCGCGTGGTAATTCTGGCTGGCGGTGCGCATCATGTCGGTCGCAGGTGTGCCGTAATCTTCCAGCCCGGTGCCGTCACCCGTGCCTGACTCTTCGACATCAGTATTATTCCCGTTTGTCGTGGTGCCCGAAGGTTGATCGGCCCGTTTGGAGGTCGAGAAGAAATGCACCGTGGCGACGTGAGCTTGATTGGCATGTGCGCTGAGTTCCTTCTCGGTGAATAGAGTATGCATGGAATATGCCGGCGCGTGCTGCTTCTCGGCAACCTGGGCCTTGGCCCGCTCGGCCGGGTTCGGATCGCGCACCGGCGAGCCAGTATCGTCCTCGGGCGCTTTTCTCTTCCTTTTATTGAAGTCCGACACGATCCCGTTCCCCAGTTCGTCCAGGTCGACCCGGTGACGGGTATGCCGGGTTTTGCGATTGCCGTGCACCCCGCCAGGACTGGCAGGATTGGTAATGCTGAATTGATTGGGATGAAGGAGGAGAGCATTGGTATCAGCAATGTCGAGCTGCTCCTTTTCCCGCATCAACCGGGCCTTCTTTCCTGAAATTGTCTGTACCAGCCGTTCTCGCAGGGTCGAGGAGAGGTTATTGTATTCTTCACCGGCGAAGTGCACCCGGAAGGCGTATTCGCGTTGGAACCTTTCTAGATTATTATTATGACGGTGCTGCACACGTTAGCTTCCAGATATTCTAGACATTGACAGAAGTAAGCAGAAGAGAAAAGGAAAAGAAACTCACCACAAGCGCCGCCAACTCCGCATCCCTCTCCTCCTTAACATGATTCACCTCCTGCACAAACCTCGAATACCACATCCCCGACAAACTAGCCATCTCCTTTGCAAAAGCACCCCCACCAATCGTCTTCTCAACCAAAGCAGCGATTTCCTCCGCCGAGTCGGGCAGCGGACCCGGCGAGTACGGATCCGCATTGTTGATCAATGTCATATCGCACTGCAACGTATGCAGCTGCTGGCGGAATTGCGCGTCTCGATTCTGGCTGAAGGTCGCCGTGAGATCGTGCAGCCGCTCTTGTAGCGCTCCGCGGCGCTTGTCCCGTTTCGAGAGGGGGGCGTTCGTCGCGGGGCTTGGGGATCGACCTCTAGGATGAAGGCTGCTGCTCAGTGCTTGTCCAGCTGCGCCAGTAGCTGGCGATACCGGTGCTGGGGAGTAAGCCATGGCTTAGGTGTGTTTTATGAGAAGCCAGGGCAGTGTGAAGATATTGACGGGGTGAGAAGCGGGTGCTGAAAGGATTAGTTGCGGGTGGATCAGGTCCTGAAGTTTGATAGTAACATAAAGGGGCCTGTTTGAATCACTAGAGATTGAAAGAAAGACTGCATGAACGGCGAGCAAAACCAGCTTTTGGTGACAGAGCGATGCTGCGTTCGGGGGAGGAGAGCCAGCAGCTGGGTAATGGAGAAGAAAGCGGGAATCCGGCGTCGCTCCCGAACTGGAATAGCCCCGGTGACAGTTTTGACCGCCCAATTGCCTCAAACAAGTCTCAAGCAACAATAGGGACTATATTTCTTCTATACTCCGTACCAATACCTGATTGCCTTGGTCATGCAAGACGCCTGAGACAATGACACACATCTTGTCTTAATTGATCAGATCGTGTTTAATCAAACCTTAATCCCAAGCATTGCTGCGAACCACTAGTCTTACAGGTACATGCTTTACGAATATCTGACCAATTCTCAAGTCTATTGGTGTATTGTGTATAATTGCTCAGCAATCGTACACGGTGAAGCTAGTCATACATTGTAAGCCATCTTCTAGTGTTGTGGACATGGAGCAAAGTTGGGTGGCCAGAGCCATCCAACCCATGCCCAAGAGTCAGCTCTTTGATTTCAAAAACGACAAAAGTATAGCACCCGGGTATTGTTGTAATCCATCCGACCAAGCAATGCACGATATATGTTCCCAGACATTTCTTCATGCAAAATCCCATACCGTAGCCAAAAACACCGTAGACGCCTCCATAATCACCTAGGCTCAATTTTCTAACCCAGTGGTAACGCAAATAAACGAAAGCAGAAGCAATGAAATGGTTGTCCGGAGACCTGTCAGACGCATATCGCATCTAGTGTGAGCGACGGATGACGAACACTCCGAGTTCTACCCCATCTTGAGGCTCAGTCTCGTAGGGCCGTCTGCGGATCCCGTCAATAATCTCACCCAGTAACATGGCTGAGGTCACTTCCTTGTCCGCAGCCACGATATAGGGATTTGCAATATTGGACGTCGCCTTGTGTGTCGGCAGGCGACGACCATTCTGCCAGTAAAGGCTGAGCACTTCTTTCATGCGAGCCTTCTCTTGGTGGATGTACCACTCCGTCCAGAGATTGCGATCCAGGTGGGCACTACCCTTTCGGGCATCAACAATGCTGAATTGAGATGAAGAAGAGCTCAAAGCACGACATAACGAGGAAAGATTGTTCTTGAGGGTGTCAAAGTCCTCCATATGAGAGACTGAAGACAACTTGCCCAAGTATCGACCAATATCGGCGGAGAGCTCGTTGACCACGACGAGCTGACGAAGCAGAGGATCGAGGATCGGTCCGAGGTACTGAGATTTGAAGACCGAACCACCCCTTCTCGTAGGGTAAATGAACATGAGGGAGCCGCCATCCGGAGAAAGTTCCGAGAGACGATCTACCAGGAAAGATGGTCGGGATGGGGAGAAGAGATCATTGTATTCCTGGGCCGACGAAGGTGGGATGTAGCGCTCCAGGACCGAGATGTGTACCGACTGAGGCGGAACGATTGGCATTGGAAAGTGTTGTGAAGCCTTCATCTGAATGGGGCCTCGAAAGTCGTGGTACGCGGACACCACGGCTGCGCTGGAAAAGACGGTGGAGTTGAAGTAGTCATTGTTGGGAAGCATACAGCGCGGCGACCCCGGGGGTGAAGTAGGAAGGTTTGTGAGACTGAACTGCTCAGGGACTGCATGTGTGACATTGATATAGGGTGACTGTCCTTGATGAGGGCGGGTTTGGATCACTTGGACGAGAGAGGAGAAGACACCTTCGTGAGTGCGATGCGGCGTAGGTTTTTCTGCTGAGTATGGGTAGGGGAGCGTTTGAGAGACGAGCTTGACGGGTTCTCCGCGGGCATTCGAAAAGGGCAGCGATGATACTAAGGACCAATTGTTTAGTTTTGAACGGGGACTCGTTCAAGTGAGTGGGAAAAAACCTACCAGTCGATTCGATGGAATTCTCCAACCATGAATCAGGATCGCAATCCATATCTCCTCCCGGGGAGTTGTGGCTTTCATCCGAACTGGAAGGCGACGCATTCGACAGTCCGTCCGACGGGCTCCGCAGACCGACCGAAGCCGCTCCTCCCGGTGAGTTATTTATATTCGGGCCTTCATCCATGGGCATCGGCCCCGGATTCCGATTCAATTGGGAATCAAACAACAACATGTTAGATCGAGTGTTCCACAATACGTGCTCGTCGTCCTCGGGAGGCGTTGGTGGAAGGGCCGTGGGGTAGTCGCTTTGAAGACAGTCCTTAGACGAGGCGCTCCACGCAGCCGATGTAGACAGTGATGTTTGAGATGCTTGAGAGCTCGACGCAGAGGTTGTAGAGAGGCGGGGAAGACGGGGTTCAACGGAATGTGTACGGGACTCGATTCGGCTGGAGGGTTTCGAAGAGAGGCCGAGTTTCTCGAATGGAGGAAGGCTCAACGATATGTTGCCTCTGTTCAAGAAACGCGAGACGGTTGATGGTT